AAAAAGGGGGGGGGGGGAGGGGGGCAGATTTTTAGGACCATGTGTGACCCCGGGGGGCCATCAAACAATGACGTCATGCTCCAAAAAAAAAAGGGGGGGGGTAGGGGGTCAGATTTTTAGGACCATGTGTGACCCGGGGGGGTGGAGCTCAAGCAACATGAAAAGCGGAATATTGTAGTAAAGAATTGCACTTAATGACCCTAATTAACAGACATTTTTAACATTATTCTTTTCTACAACAATTAAAATTATTTTATTTTTTAAACTACGATCATTGAGGGAATCAGTACAGGCATGCGCGTTCCGAAGGATGGCCTCTGATCAAGTTACAGGACGCCCAGGAACAGGACAATCGGGATGTAGTTACAGTGACAGTCGTGAGAATTTATGGCCAAATCTGGACACGGGAATCATAGAATTAGAGCTACCGCGTGCAGTATGAATGGAACGAAGAAAAAGGTTCACAGGGGTATCTTAGTAAAGGCTCTAGGCCTAGGCCTAGGACAGGGATGCTCTAGGCCTAGGCCTAGGACAGGGATGCTCTAGGCCTAGGCCTAGGACAGGGATTTTTAACATTTTGCAGCTTATCAGGCCCATTCCGTTTTAAACACTCCCCCCCCCCTTTTTTTCCCAACCAACCGTATAAATTATATTGTAATAAAATTTAAAATAATTCAATAATTTTTTTTCTTTAATTAGCTTTTTGTATACAAGTGAAAAAGTTACCAATACAAGCAGAACGTCAGTCAATCTTACCAGAAAAATATTTACTGCTGCTAATCAAAATATGTAAAAAAAAAAAAAAAACTTCTTTTCTTTTTAAATCAGCAGCAACCAGCAATAGTAACAAAACAATTTTTTTCTTTAATTAGCTTTTTGTAAAAAAGGAAAAAATTTACCAAAAAAAGCAGAACGTAAGTCAATCTTACAAAAAAAAAATTTACTGCTGCTAATCAAAAAATGTAAAAAAAAAAAAAAACTTCTTTTCTTTTTAAAGCAGCAGCAACCAGCAATGGTAGCAAAACATTCAGTGGCGTAGCTAAGGTTGGTGTCACCCGGTCCGGTAAGGTCCGCCCCCCCCCCGCCAACTTTCCCGATTACGAGGTAATCTTCTTGTTAATCCTAGTCCACAAATATAGAAACAACAACAAATTAATTGAAGGTCAGGAAGTGAATGTATTTAAGAACTGTGACGTGTACTTAGAATCGCCCATTGTTTTCAAAAGATAGCTTAATTTCTCAGAATTTTGATAGATATAGCTTCCTCTTTCTTACAAAAGTTACCGTACACTTCATGCGACGTTGAGACGTGGTCAAAACGGTGTGTTCTGGCCTAATAATAAGGTCACTTAATTTCTGACGTATATATCTTGAAATTTTAATAAAACGCGCATTTTGATTGGTTACATGGGTAGAAACTGTAAGTGTCATCTGTTATTCTTTTATGAACTTCAGTCAGACCGAGCAGTGTGTGCTTTGTAAATATGCAATTTTACAATTTGGTCCCCTGAGATGATGTCACCCGTTGCGGTCCGCACCCCCTAGCTACGCTACTGAATACAATTTTCTTGTCTATCACACATGGCTGAGGAGGTAATTTTACCCCTGGTTAGGAACCACTGGTCTGGTGAAATGTTTCTGACACGGGTGCAGTAATTTGATATCCACGGGACGGGAATTTCTTAAAGGGTTTGTAAAGGACTGTAGGGGACGCAGGGAGGGGAATTTCTTAAGAAGTTTGTAAAGGACTGTAGGGGACGCAGGGAGGGGATTTCTTAAGGGGTTTGTAAAGGACAGTAGGGGACGCAGGGAGGGGAATTTCTTAAGGGGTTTGTAAAGGACAGTAGGGGACGCAGGGAGGGGAATTTCTTAAGGGGTTTGTAAAGGACAGTAGGGGACGCAGGGAGGGGAATTTCTTAAGGGGTTTGTAAAGGACAGTAGGGGACGCAGGGAGGGGAATTTCTTAAGGGGTTTGTAAAGGACAGTAGGGGACGCAGGGAGGGGAATTTCTTAAGGGGTTTGTAAAGGACAGTAGGGGACGCAGGGAGGGGAATTTCTTAAGGGGTTTGTAAAGGACAGTAGGGGACGCAGGGAGGGGAATTTCTTAAGGGGTTTGTAAAGGACAGTAGGGGACGCAGGGAGGGGAATTTCTTAAGGGGTTTGTAAAGGACAGTAGGGGACGCAGGGAGGGGAATTTCTTAAGGGGTTTGTAAAGGACAGTAGGGGACGCAGGGACGGGAATTTCTTAAGGGGTTTGTAAAGGACAGTAGGGGACGCAGGGACGGAAATTTCTTAAGGGGTTTGTAAAGGAAAGTAGGGGACGCAGGGAGGGGAATTTGCGTGACGTCATTTATGGATGGCCCCTGAGAGGATGACTAATGAGTGGATTTTGTTGATTAAATATTGTTAAGATGGTGGTTGTAGATGAGATAGGTTAAGAAGGTATTTAGTGATAAGATATGTTAATTTAGTGTTTGTAGACTAGAAGTTTTAAGATCGTGTTTGTAAAACAATGGATTTTAGGGTGTTTGTCATTGCAATACTAATGATATAAATATGATGGTGTTTGTAGAACAGAAGGATGATTTGATTGCAGAAAAGAAAATGATTGGGACGTAGAAAATATGATGTTTTTGATGTAGAAAAGAGAATGTAGGCGATCTAGAACATAGGATGTTAAGGATGTAACACATATGATGTTAGGGATGTAGAATAGAAGATGTTACGTATGTAGAACAAAGGATGTAAATAATGTAGAATAGAGGTCATAGGGGATCTAAAACAGAGGATGTTAGAGATGTAGAACAAAAAATGTTAGGTATAAAGAACAGAGGATGTTAGGAACGTAGAACAGAGGATTTAAGAACGCAGAAAAGAGGATGTTAGGAACGTAGAGCAGAGAATGTTAGGGATGTAATACAGAGAATGTTACGGTTGTATAACAGATACTGCTAGGAATGTAGAACATAGAATATTAGGGATATAGAACAGATAATGCTAATTATTTAGAAAAGTGTATGTTAGGGGTGTAGAACAAAGAATGTTAGGGGCGTAGAACAGAGGATGTTAGAGATATAAAACAGAGAATGCGAGGGATATAGAATAAAGATTGTTAATGATATAGAACAACGGATGTTTTAGAGATGTATTTTAGAGATGTAGAATAGAGGATGTTAGAGATGTAGAACAGAGGATGTTAGAGATATAGAACAAAGGATTTTAGAAGATGTAGAACAAAGGATTTCAGAGATGTAGAACAGAGGATGTTAGAGATGTAGAACAGAGGATGTTAGAGATATAGAACGGAGAATGCTAGGAATATTGAACAGATAATGCTAGTGATTTAGAAAAGAGGATGTTAGTTACGTAGAACAGAGAATGTTAGGGTTGTAGAATAGAAGATGTTAGGGATGTTGAGCAAATTATTAAAGATGCTGAAAAGATGATGTTAGAGATGTATAACAGGGTATTTTAGGTATGTAGAGCAGAGGATGGTAAGGATGTTGAGCAGGGGATGTGGTGAACACTGCACATTGAATATGGACATCGTTTTGTGAAAAAAGTGTGTAACATGAATTAATTTTATTTTTTGCATATAACAATTGAGAAAATTTTCTTGTCAGATGTCACGAGCTCCCTTTACTCTAAGTGACGCTTGGATCTAAATCCTATACTAACTCTGACACCACCTTGTTTGTTAAAACAAGGAAACACAATAAACATAAAATAAACAAAGAAGTCTTCAAATAACTTAAAATAACTAAGACTAATTTATTATCTAAAATGTATAAGTAACTGACATGAAACACAATGTATACACCAAAACATATAATGACCTGTAATTTTTAAATATATTGAAAGATGCACTTTAACATTCATTCATGGTTGACAATTATGATGGTTGTCCTTACTAAAATCATATAAAGCACATCTGCAGACTAAGACTGACCAATACAGGCAAATAACTTATGACTCCCTCGACACCCTACGGACTCTTATGGAGGGGCTTCGTATGTGTATCGACCTATGCACGTTCTGTCTTACTGCCAAGGGCTTGTCATGATTCGTCTTCTACTATCTTGTGTCACGACAATAAAAGGGCGATTATTCCTGAAATGAATGAATAAATCCCCTACACCATGTGATCCATCCTAAGTCCCAACTAGATACTCACCGTAGTCTCCTAAACTACTAACGTCTACCTAGTGTGACAAGCAATCATACGAACTACCCTAAAGCTTCCTGATTCACACACCTTACATACACACTTACCTCTCTATGTTGTTTCTAAGTTCGATGGCAAAACTGGCACAAGGTAACTCCAAGTCTAATTCTCAACCCGCTCTCTGGTCTCTAGCAACGTCCTTCGTGTGGGCTGTGGTGAGTGGTGGTCTACCAAAACGCTGTCGCTATCTAGACACAGAATCACTGGCCCTCCCACGATTCTAATTATGGACTGGCACTATCTAGTCCCTGTCCCTTCTCGCGTAGCTTTGACCTCAAGGTCGGTGGTCACTAAATCACTAGCTGCCATCGGTGCCCACAAAGAGACGAACTCTACCTGGACGACTCCTAACGGTGTTGCACCGCGATAAATCTTCTAAAATAACTTAATAATGCATCCCCCAAACTCGTGTGATAATGGCCGCAGGGGACGCGATCTGGATCCTGGCTAGTGCTCGCACCTCCACCTACCCTAGCTGACCTCTCCCACGACCCTGGCTGACCGTGGCTAATAGTCACTCTGTGACATCAGACAAGTCAAATACTTACTTCTATACACTTTCTATCTCTTTTGACTCAACATAAACAAAATAATGAAGAGCAAGATGAAACAATTAACTACCTTTTCGACCACATATTGATTTAAGTTTTCAACTGTCCACTGTTTGTCCAGGTCATGTGATCAGTTACACTACTATTTGTATTACAAAGCTTCGGGTCATGTGATCAGATACACCAGTTTGTATTACAAAGTTGATGTTTCCACTGTTTGTCCAGGCCCTGTGATTAGCGCGCTGCTGCTCCGTTACAGTATTCGACAAGTGACTTTGGCTGGTTCTTTGATTTGTTCTTTTGGATTTATCGCAAGTTTCTTTGCTCCCAACATATACGTTCTCATCCTCACATACGGAGTCATTGCTGGTAAGTCGGCCAGTTGGTCAATAGGCCAGTTGGTCAGTGGATAAATTGGTCCATAGGCCAGTTGGACAATAGGCCAGTTGGTCAATAGGCCAGTTCGTCAATAGGCCAGTTCGTCGATATGCGAGTTGGTCAATGGATCAGCTGGTCAATATGTAAGCTGGTCGATGGTTCATTTGGTTAAAGGGTTACGCGGTCAATGGGTCACGCGGTCAATGTGTCATACGGTCAATGGGTCACGCGGTCAATAGGTTACATGGTCAATGTTTCACTTGGTCAATAGGTAAGCTGGGCAATGGGTCAGTTTGTCTATGGGTCAGTTTGGCGATGGGTCAGTTGGTCAATGGGTTACGCGGTCAATGGGTTACATGGTAAATGTTTCACTTGGTCAATAGGTAAGCTGGGCAATGGGTCAGTTTGTCTATGGGTCAGTTTGACAATGGGTCATTTGGTCAATGGGTTACGCGGTCAATGGGTTACATGGTCAATGTTTCACTTGGTCAATAGGTAAGCTGAGCAAAGCCGAATCTGAAATTTGATGGCTTAATTTAAATATTTCAACTTGAGTACGCAATTAGTCTCATCTCATTCTTTACTTTAAATGCCAGGTATTGGTATCGGGATGGTGTTCCTGCCAGCTATCATCATTGTTGGCGTATACTTTAATGAGAAGCGAGCTATAGCTACAGGTATAGCAACTAGTGGTTCAGGTAAGTAATTCATGTATACATTCACCTGTTATTGGTAAGTTCTTTGCTTAAATTCATCAGGTATTATTACGTTCTTTGCTTACATTCATCTGGTATTGGTACGTTCTTTGCTTACATTCATCTGGTATTAAAAAGTTATTTGCTAACATTCAGCAGATGTTGGTAAGTTCTTTGCTTACATTCACCATGTATTTTTAAGTTTCTTTGCTTAAATTCAGCAGGTATTAGTACCTTTTTGCTTATATTCCCAGGCATTGGTACGTTCTTTTTTGCCTACATTACCAGTGAATTATTGGAGACCTACCAATGGAGGGGAACCCTTCTGATCCTTGGTGGGATCGTGCTCAACTGTTTTGTCTGTGGTATGCTCTTCCGACCCTTGAATCCCACCATTTCATATCTGGATGAGGTAATAACTACGTCATGTTACTAAATACATGGCTCGTGAACTTTAAACCGGCATTTGATTGGATTTAAAATATGCCCGTCTTTTGATTGGCTGTTAAAATAAACAAGTCTTTTGATTGGCTGTTAAAATAAAGAAGTCCTTTGATTGGCTGTTAAAATAAAGAAGTCTTTTGATTGGCTTTTAAAATAAAGAGGTCTTTTAATTGGCTGTCAAAATAAAGAAGTCTTCTAATTGGCTGTTCAAAAAGAAGTCTTTAATTGGATATTAAAATAAAAACGTCTTCGGATTGGTTGTTAAATAAAGAAGTCGTTTGATTGGCTGTTAAAATAAAGAAGTCGTTTGATTGGTTGTTAAAATAAAGAAGTCGTTTAATTGGCTGTTAAAATAAAGAAGTCGTTTGATGTGCATTGAAATTAAACCCGGCTTTGGGTGGCTGTTGAAATAAATCAGTCTTTATTTTTTTATTCAAAACATCAAATCTGGGAAAGTACAATCAAATACGAGTCAAAATGAGTGGGTGAATGAAGAGTGGGTGAGTACTTAGTGTGTCTGTGAGGATTGGGTAAGTGATTAGTGGGTGAGTGATGTGTGGATGAGTGGGTGAGTGATGAGTGGGTAAGTAAAGCGTAGTTGATTGAAGGATTAAAAGGGAGACAATTATTACTTGAAGTCTTGAGAATTAAATTAAAATCAACTCAATTTCCATAACCTATAATTCCATTAAAATGTTTCCTCTTCTATCCTCACATATAGATCCTTCCTCTTATTTCCTCACATATAATCATTTCTCTTCTATACTCACATATAAACTCTTCCTCTTATTTCCACACATATTAATCCTTCCTCTTCGATCCTCACATATTTTCAGAAAATATAATAATTTCAAAAGTGTTTGTCAGTGTTCAAAAAAATTATATCACTCACGGCACTAAACTACAGTTTTAGGGCATTTGAAAGCTTCAGATAGATCAAGGGCATGTTTTGTCACAGTTATCAATGGCCTATTGTTGTGTCAGAGTCATCATCAGCCTATAGATGTGTCACATTTTTCAATGGCCCATTTTTGTGTCAGGGTCAATGGCCTATTGTTGTGTCAGTGCTATCAATGGCCTATTTTTGTGCCAGGGGTATCAATAGCCTATTGCTATGTCAGGGTTATCAATGGCCTATTGCTATGTCAGGGTTATCAATGGCCTATTGCTATGTCAGGGTTATCAATGGCCTATTGCTATGTCAGGGTTATCAATGGCCTATTGCTATGTCAGGACTATCAAGGGCCTTTTTATGTCACGGTTATCAAGAGCCTATTGTTGTGTCAGGGTTGTCTAGGGCCTATTTTTGTGTCAGGGTTGTCAAGGGCCTATTGTGTCATGGTTATTAAGGCCCTAATTTTGTGTAAGTGTTATCAAGAGCCTATCTTTGTCAGGGCTATCAAGGCCATATTTTTGTGTCAGCGTTATCAAGGGCCTATTGTTTTTTCAGAGTTATCAAAGGCCAATCGTCTCAGGATTATCAAAAGCCTATTGTTGTGTCAGTGCTATAATGAGCCTGTTGTATCTGGGTTATCAAGGTAATATTATTGTGTCCAAACTTATCAAAAGCCTATTTTGTCAGGGTTATCCAGGGCCTATTGTGTCAGGGTTATCAAGGGGCTATTGTGTCAGGGTTATCAATGGCCTATTGTATCAGGGTTATCAAGGGCCTAATGTTTCAGGTTTAGCAAGGGTCTTTTGTTGTGTTACAGCTATGAAGGGTCTATTGGTCAGGGTTACCAATGGCCTGTTGTGTAAGGATCATCATGGGCCTGATGTGTCAGGGTTATCAAGGGTCTGTTGTTTCTGGATTATTAAAGGCATATTTTTTCCAGCTTATCAAGGGTCTATTGTATCTGGTTTATCAAGGGTCTGAGGTGCCTGGGTTATCAATGGCTATTGTGTCAGGGTTTACAAGGGCCTATTGTGTCCGGATTATAAAGAGCATACTGTGGCATTGTTATCAAGGGCTTATTGTGTCAGAATTATCAAGGGCCTATTGTGTCAGTGTTATCAAGGATCTATTGTGACAGTTTATCAAGGGCCTTTTGTGTCTGGGTTATCAAGGGCCCATTATGTCAGGTTATCAAGGGTATATTGTGTCAGGGTTATTAAGGGCTTATTGTGTCAGGGTTATCAAGGGTCTAATGTTTCAGGGATATCAAGGGTCTATTGTTGTGACACAGTTATGAAGAATGTATTGGTCAGGATTATCAAGGGCCTGTTGTGTCAGGGTTATCATGGGCCAGTTGTGTCAGGGTTATCAAGAGTCTGTTGTGTTTGTGTTATCAATGGTTTTTTGTGTCTGTGTTATCAAGGGCCTTTTGGTCAGGATTGTCAAGGACCTTTTGTTGCAGGGTATCAAGGGCCTATTGTTTCAAGGTTATCAAGGGCCTAAAGTTTCAGGGTTATCAAGGGCCTTTTATTTGTGTCACAGTTATGAAGGGCATATTGGTCAGGATTATCAAGGGCCTTTTGTGTAAGGGTTATCAAGGGCCTATTGTGTCAGTCTTGGAAAGGGCCTATTTTTTCAGGGTTATCAAGAATCTGATGTGTCTCTGTTATCAAGGGCCTTTAGTGTCAGGGTTATCAAGGGCCTATTTTGTCAAGGTTACCAAGGGTCTGTTTTGTCTGGGTTATCAAGGGACTGTTGTGTCAGGGTGAACGCTCCTTCTACTTCCATGGGCTCACGTTCTGGAACCAGCTCCCCTTCCATATCCGTCATTGTGAAACCTCGTCCACTTTTAAAAATTCCCTTAAAACCCATCTGTTTAGGTCCGCCTGTGATGCACCCTCCTTGCCCTGCCTCATTTTCTGTCTCGGGTTAATCCTGTAATATAGGCCAAAACGTGCCAAAGTGTCCTCGTTTTATAGCTATTTTAATTGTTTCTATAGTATAGTAGTTACTATCCTAATGTCTCATTTTTATTTTAGTTAGTTTACATGTTTTTAATAATTGTAAAGCGCTTAGAGCTTTAAGGTAAGCGCTATATAAAAATGCCTAAATAAAAAAAAATAACTCAAGGGTCTGTTGTGTCTGGGTTTTAAAAGTTTATTGTGTCAATGTTTTTATATATTTATATATTTTTATGTCACAATTATCAAGGGCATATTGTTGATTATAGCTTATCAAGCTACTATTGTGTCAGTGTTATTATGGACTCATTACTATGAAGGTTAGCGTCCATGGTCATATGTATTATAGAAAAAAAAAATTTCATTGTTTAATTATGATTTTTTTTTACAGTCTCACTGACCAAATTTATGACTTTGTCCACTTGATAGTCCCACTTACTACATTAGTGACTTTGTGAACTTGGTAGTCTCACCGACTAAATGTTTTACTTTTTTCACTCGATATTCTCACTGAACAAATGTGTCTTTGTCCATTTGATACTCTTACTGTCTAAATGCATGACTTTGTCCACTGTAAAGTCTCACTGTCTAAATGTATGACTTTTTCCACTTTATAGTCTCACTGTCTAGATGTATTACTTTTTCCCACTTGATAGTCTCTCTGGCTAAATATGTTACTTTGTCTACTTGACAGTCTCACTGTCTAAATGTATTACTTTGTCCACTTGATAGTCTCACTGTCTAATGTATGGCTTTGTCCACTTGATAGTCTGACTGTCTAAATGTATGACTTTGTCCACTTGATAGTCTCACTCTGTAAATGTATAACACTGTTCAATTGATCGTCTCACTGACTAAATGTATGACTTTGCCCAATTGATAGTCTTACTGTCTTAATGTATGACTTTGTCCATTTGATAGTCTCACTGTCTAAATGTATGACTTTGTCCACTGTAAAGTTTCACTGCCTAAATGTATGACTTTTACCACTTGATAGTCTCACTGTCTTGATGTATGACTTTGTCCATTTGATTGTCTCACTGACCAAATGTATGACTTTGTCCATTTGATAGTCTCACTGACTACATGTATTACTTTTTCCACTTGATAGTCTCACTGACTAAATATGTTACTTTGTCCACTTTATAGTCTCACTGTCTTGATGTATGACTTTGTCCATTTGATTGTCTCGCTGACCAAATGTATGACTTTGTCCATTTAATAGTCTCACTGACTACATGTATTACTTTTTCCACTTGATTTTCTCACTAACTAAATATGTTACTTTGTCTACTTGACAGTCTCACTGTCTAAATGTATTACTTTTTCCACTTGATAGTCTCACTGACTAAATATGTTACTTTGTACACTTAATAGTCTCACTGTCTAAATGTATGACTTTGTCAAATTGATAGTCTCACTGTCTAAATGTATGACTTTGTCCACTTGATAGTCTCACTTTCTAAATGTATGACTTTGTCCACTTGATAGTCTCACTGTCTAAATGTACGACTTTGTCCACTTGATAGTCTCACTTTCTAAATGTATGACTTTGTCCACTGTAAAGTCCAGTGTCTAAATGTATGACTTTTTCCACTTTATAGTCTCACTGTCTTGATGTATTAATTTGTCCACTTGATAGTCTCCTGACTAAATATGTTACTTTGTCCACTTTATAGTCTCACTGTCTTGATGTATTAATTTGTCCACTTGATAGTGTTACTGACTAAATATGTTACTTTGTCTACTTGAAAGTCTCACTGTCTAAATGTATGATTTTGTACAATTGATAGTCTCACTGTCTAAATGTATGACTTTGTCCACTTGATAGCCTCACTGTCTAAATGTATGACGTTGTCCATTTGATAGTCTCACTGACCAAATGTATGACTTTGTCCATTTGAGATTCTCACTGTTTAGGTCCGCCTCTAACCTGTGATGCACCCTCCTTGCCCTGCCTTATTTTCTGTCTCGGGTTGATCCTGTAGTATAGGCCAAAACATGCCAAAGTGTCCTCGTTTTATAGCCATTTTAATTGTTTCTATTGTATAGTAGTTACTATCCTAATGTCTCATTTTTATTTTACTTAGTTTACATGCTTTAAATAATTGTAAAGCGCTTAGAGCTTTAAGGTAAGCGCTATATAAAAATGCCTAAATAAATAAATAAAAAATAAATGTATGACTTTGTCCACTGTAAAGTTTCACTGTCTAAACGTATGACTTTTTCCACTTTATAGTCTCACTGTCTTGATGTATTAATTTGTCCACTTGATAGTCTCATTGTCTAAATGTATGACTTTGTCCATTTGATAGTCTCACTGACCAAATGTATTACTTTGTCCACTTAATAGTCTCACTGTCTAAATGTATGACTTTGTCCACTTAATAGTCTCACTGTTTAAATGTATGACTTTGTCCACTTGATAGTGTCACTGTCTAAATGTATGACTTTGTCCACTTGATAGTTTCACTGTCTAAATGTATGACTTTGTCCACTTGATAGTCTCACTGTCTAAATGTATGACTTTGTCCACTTGATAGTCTCACTGTTTAAATGTATGACTTTGTCCACTTGAAAGTCTCACTGACCAAAAGGTAGGTCATTTTCTAAGAATAAAACTGAATGTCTTTTTTCCCTTGTGTATCAGAGCCCTGACACTGACGCGTCAGACAATGCAAAGTGCAAGACTAAAGACAAAGAGCGTTTCTACACTGCTTCTTGTTACCATGACAACACGTCACCTTCCTCATCACAGCACAGTACCACAAATGTTAGCACAGATCAACCTGTTAGTAGTGGCACCAGCATCTTGACTTATTTTCATAAAGTGGAGGCAGAGGCTGTAAAGTCTGATTCTCGAACAGACCACACGTTCCCCAGCCCTAATACGTCACTGATCATGACCGATTACTCCAGAGGTTATAGAAATCTGATAAAAATTCCACTGATAAAAGGAATTGTTTTACACCCTACCACGACCGTGCTCTATGCTCATGAATTAAAGGAGAACACGCGCGTCCAGGCTGGCGTTGAATGTAGGTCAGAAGCACATTCTAGAGGAAAAGACGACAAAGGGCAAACCAACAAAGAAATCATCCGACAAGACAGGCAACAGACTCTAAACGCCAACATAAGAACAGTCATCAATCTTCGAAGTGTCAAATTTTTACCAACACCTAACTCTACGAATAAGAGCCTTGGTCCTTCAATCATTTGGTTACGGAGAAAAAACGACAGTTGGTATCCCGGTCGAAAATACAGAATCTTGAATGACCTTGACCGAAACGACAACAGGGACAGTTCAAAAAAGTATTCAACCTCAGGGAAATTTAAATTGGGGAGTGATCTGTCGTTACCCTCGCTTTCAGGCGCCATCAAACTGGATCACCACCACTTCTCAGTCATCGGGCATAGGTTAAGTCGGGGGCTAGCCAAGCCCATCATGAGGAAAGACATTTTCTACGGTGGCAGTATAAGCATAGAGCCCAACTCAGAATTTCCGACTCTGGCAACATTCTTGGCAGCGCTCACCAAGACGTCCGTGGAAGATGAAGAAGTCCAAGTGAAATCGACAAGACATAAGGTCAAAGGTGTCTTTAAAATGTTATGTCCGTTGAGACTGTTGGAGAAAAAGGTCTTCATCTTGCTGCTCATCACGTTCACAATGTGGACAGGTGAGTCAGTTTGTCACCTTTACAATGTGGAAAGGTGAGTAAGTTTCTCATCTTCACAATGGGGACAGGTGAGTCAGTTTTATCACTTTCACAATTGGGAAAAGTGAGTCTGTTAATCACCTTCATAATGTAGACAAGTGAGTCAGTTTATCACCTTCACAATGTAGGAAGGTGAGTCAGTTTATCACCTTCAAAATGTAGACAGATGATACATTTTATCACCTTCACAATGTAGGCAGGTGAGTCATTTGATCACCTTCAAAATGTAGTCAGGTGATACATTTTATCACCTTCACAATGTAGGCAGGTGAGTCAGTTTATCACTTTCACAATGTTGACAGGTGAGTCAGTTAATCACTTTCACAAGGTAAACAAGTGAATCATGGTATATTGTGCCCATGGTGAATGATAAAGAATGTCCATGGAGAATGGTGCATTGTGTCCAATGGGGAATATGCCTTGTGCCCATTGGAATGATGCATTGTGTTCATGCGGAATGGTGCATTGTTTCCATGGTGAATGGTGCATTGTATCCATGGTGAATGGTGCTTGTGTCTGTGGGGATCGATGCATTGTTTCCATGGGGATTGGTGCATTGTGTAAATGGGGATTGGTGCATTGTGTCAAAAAGGAATCATGCATTGTGTCCATGGAAAATGGTGCATTGTGTTCATGGAAAATGGTGCATTGTGTTCATGGGGATCGGTAGTACATTGTGTCCATGGAGAATGATTCGTTGTATCCATTGGTAATAGTGCAATATGTCTATGGTCAATGGTGTATTTTGTTATGGGAAATGGTGTTTTTGTTAATGGGGAATGGTGTCTTGTGTCCAATTTAATTGAAACAAATGTATCATAATATGTGGCGTAATCCCCTAAAATGATTTCCCTTCAAATTGCTAATCATTGAAATAAGAATTGGTTCATTGAAATAGTTCAGTGTTGACAAGATACGACATTATTGCCTTCATTTTGAATAGAGTAATATTTCTTCAGAATGAATATTTTTGAGTTAGCTATGTAAGTAACATAACTTGATAATTGTTGAATTAGATTTAGGTATTTAAGTAGCATAACTTGATGATACTTGATTTGACTTAGCTCTTTAAGTAACTTAAATTGAGAATTGTTGAATTTGACTTAAGTATTTAAGTAGCAAAAGTTGAGAATGGTTCAGTTTGTCATAAGTATTTAAGTAGCACAAGTTGAGAATGGTTCAGTTTGTCATAAGTATTTAAGTAGCATAACTTGATCATGGTTCAGTGTGATTAACAGCTGAAAATGTTTGTTTTGACCATCAGCGCAGTCAGTGTCCATGACTTACCTCCCTTACTTTGCGATATCCATGGGGATAGACAAGAGTGACGCGTCGTTCCTCATCTCAATCGTGGGTGTGGCTAATCTGATTGGACGCCCATTGGCAGGTACCTTCTCCTTGTTAATGCTCATCCGAGGCGTACCTCCTCACCGTGGCTTAGGAAGGCTGGTGTGCCAGTGGCGTTTCAAGCCGGGTTGCAGGTGCTGTTTTTTTCTTCACATTTATGGGCGGCATTTTCGGTCTACTGAATGTTTTTCGTGGAAGAGTGACTTCAAAAAATTAGGCCTATCCCTGGTGGCCTTCCCGGTCGGCCTGTCCCGGGTGGCCTTTCCCGCGTAGCCTTTCCGGGTGGCCTGTCCCGTATGGTCTGTCCCGTGTGGCCTGTCCCATGTGGCCTTCCAGGTCGGCCTGTCCCGGGTGGCCTTTCCCGGGTGGCTGTCTCGGGTGGCCTGTCCCGGGTGGCCGGTTGTCACTAATCTTAGAAACGCCACTGCCTCCACACCGAGATGCCACTGCCTCCACGTCGAGAAAAACCTACGTTGGGAAAAATAGATTTAAAAAACACAAGAAAATAACATAATCAGGCTTTAAAAAAAAACAAACAGGCGCACGAGTCAAATAGCCAAGGTAACTCTTTTAATCTGTGTCTAGTTAATCTGTGTCTAGTTAATCTGTGTCTAGTTAATCTGTGTCTAGTTAATCTGTGTCAAGTTAGTTATAGTGTGTCTAATTAGTTAATTTTTGTTTAGTTAATTTGTGTCTTATTAATCTGTGTCTAGTTAATCTGACACATCTTGTCACATTCCATGTTTATTCTAAGCCTAAACACTGATTTTTGCAAAATAATCAATGCACCGTTAAATTGTATGATATTTCCAGTTCAAATCACCGACTGTTGTGGCATACCCAGTAGTATATGATCATATGTCCCATTATATTGTATGATATTTCCAGTTCTAATCACCGACTGTTGTGGCATACCCAGTATATGATCATATGTCCCATTATATTGTATGATATTTCCAGGTCTAATCATCGACTGTTGTGGCATACCCAGTAGTATATGATCATATGTCCCATTATATTGTATGATATTTCCAGGTCTAATCACCGACTGTTGTGGCATACCCAGTATATGGTTATATGTCCCATTATATTGTATGATATTTCCAGGTCTAATCACCGACTGTTGTGGCATACCCAGTATATGGTTATATGTCCTGGCCTTGTCCACGGCCGCAGGAATCAATTTCTACATACCATTTTGTGAAAGTCTCATAGTCCTGCAGGTTTGCTCTGCAATCTTCGGCCTTTGTATGGGTGAGTGATGACATGTGTATGGGTGAGTGACGACATGCGTATGGGTGAGTGATGACATGTGTATGGGTGAGTGATAGCACGTGTATGGGTGAGTGATGACATGTGTATGGTTGAGTGATAGCACGTGTATGGGTGAGTGATGACATGTGTATGGGTGAGTGATGACATGTGTATGGGTGAGTGATGACATGTGTATGGGTGATTGATGGCCTGTATTTTTGTGAGGGATGGCATGAGTATTGTTGAGTGATGGTCTATTTATGGTGAATGATGACAATGTTTACTCTTCTATATTGGGTGATGACAATGTTTACTCCTCTATGTTGGGTGATGACAATGTTTACTCCTCTATGTAGGGTGATGACAATGTTTACTCCTCTATGTAGGGTGATGACAATGTTTACTCCTCTATGTTGGGTGATGACAATGTTTACTCCTCTATGTTGGGTGTTTGTGACGCTTGTTACGTAAAGGTCAACACAAATTACTTGAATGTTTCTCATTGCTGATTGACCAAATATTTTCTAACCATTTGCTGACAACCGTTATTTTGTGTCCTTCTCTCTCCCCCCCCCCCCCAAAAAAAAAAAAAAAACA